CAGCAGCATCAGCGTCAGCATCAGCATAGCATCATCATCATGATCATCATATTCATATAAAGCATCATCATTATCAGCAGCATCATCGCCATCTTCATATTCATCAGCATCATCAGCATCAGCATCATCATCATCAGCATCATCAGCATCATCATCAGCATCGTCAGTCTCATCATCATCATCATCAAAATTATCATCATCAGCAGCATCATCAGCATCATCATCAGCAGCAGTATCATCAGCGTCATCATCAGCAGCAGCAGCATCAGCATCAGCATCAGCATCAGCATCAGCATCAGCATCATCATCATCATTAGCATCATCAAGATCATCGGAATCATCAGCATCTCATCATCAAAGTCTCATCATCAACATCATCATCAGCACCATCACCATCAGCAGCAGCATCAGCAGCATCAACAACATCATCATAATCTTCAGCATCATCATCATACTCTTACTCAGACTCATCATCATCAACATCATCAGCATCATCAGCATCATCACCATCCTCTCCTCCTTCATCTCATCCTCCTCCTTCATATCATCCTCCTCCTTCATCTCCTCCGCCTCCTCCTCCTCCTCCTCCCCTCCTTCCGCCTGGCAAGCCACAAGGAACCTTCAGAGCGGCTCGAAGGACACCCAGCACGGCTCAACAAGACGATCATGACGACCGGAGAGAGCCCCTGACAAGCCGAAATGGCAGAGGGAGGCCGCAAATCGCCAAGTTACACCTAGAGCCTAACGGATTCCCGACAAGGTCCCGAAGCGTCCTCCTCGTGCTCCTCCAGCCCCCATCATCCTCTCGTTATGCTCTCCCTCGTCCACCTCCTCATCCGCCTCTGCACGGTCATCCTCCGCCTTATCGTCCTTCACTTCAAGTGAATATCGCCTGCAGAACCCCGCCGCCACCATCATCGAGAGCAGTCTCGGGGTGTCTTGGAGTCGTTGGGGGGCCCTCTTGGGGACCTCTTGGGCGGTCGGCCATCTTCGGCATGACAGGGGCGCCTGGAGCTCCTCTGGACGCTTTCTTGAGCCGTCCTAGGGTCGTCTTGAAGCCGTCTTGAACCCACCTGAAGGGCCCGCGCGGCCGATCTTGAGGCCCTCTTGAGGCCCTCTGGGGCCGTCTGGGGCCGTCTGGGGCCCTGAGGACCCTTTCAAGGCCCCCAAGGGGCGGGCGCTCTTGAGCTCTCGTGGACTCCCAAATGGGCCTCGTCGAGCCGTGTGAGGCCAATCGTGCGGGAAGGCCAAAATGAATTGGGCCCTCTTCAACTGTTCCTCGAGCGCGCTCTCAGGCCGTCTTAGCGCTCTCTGGGGCCGCCCTGGGCCGTCTTGCCCCCGCCTTGGGCCGTCCAAGGATCGCCTTGGGGCCGTTTTGGGACGGTCTTGGGCCCTCTTGGGGCGCCCTTGGGCACCTCTCGGGCCGTCTCGCCCTCCCGGGTGCACCCCAGACTCAGGGAACCCGTCACGGATCGTTGCACTGGTACTGGATGACCCGGCTGCACAACACCGTCGATCGCACTCCACACCGACACGAAATCGAGACCTGAACCGCTCCCTCGTGAGGATTTCCGCGTATGCTGAAGGGGTCCGCGGATGCTGCACGCAAGACTGAAGAATCTCCTCCTCGGCCGCCTCGTGGTCGCTTACCATCTCCTCCTGCAAGAGTGCCTCCCGGGAAGGCCAAAGCCGCAAGAATCATGAGATCCGCTGCTCTGTGGGGGAAAGGGGGAAAAGATAGGGAAGGAGGAGCAGGAGGACGAGGGTGGGGGGGGGCGGAGGAGCAGGAGGAGGACGAGGGGTGAGGAGCAGGAGGAGGAAGAGGAGGCAGAGGAGGAGGGGTGAGGAGCAGGAGGAGGAGGGGTGAGGAGAGGAGGAGGAGGAGGAGGAGGAGGAGGGGTGAGGAGAGGAGGAGGAGGAGGAGCAGGAGGAGGAGGGGTGAGGAGCAGGAGGAGGAGGAGGGAGGAGGCCAAACCTCGCTGCCCCTGTGGCCCATTGCTGCCCGGAGCCTCTGCCTCGGAGAGGAGGCCGCCGACGGAGGTGTACTCGTCCACGGCCTGCTCCCCCGCCTGCAGCGTCAGGGAGGAGGCCACGGAGGCCAGGGCCAGCGGCGCGAGCAGCGCCCGCAGCGCCATCGCAGGGATAAGGTGCGGTCTGCGGGTGTGGAGCCCTGCACGCAGGCTGCGCTGGGTCTCGGGCGAGCAGCGCGGGCCAAGATGCAGCCAGGAGGCTACGGACCGTCCAAGCCCCAGCGCAGAGGGCGAGAGCACATGCCAGAACTGCCCGCCGGGGGGACTGGGCCGTCGCGCCTGCAAACGTGCTGGAAGTGCGATGGCAGCAACAGGAGTGCTTTGGGCTTGCAGATGTGAGATGCTCCGCTGGGCCAGGCGGTGCGTATCCAGCGGGTGGCAACCCCAGGACCGGGAGCAGTTGGTGACAAGGGAGGCCGAAGATATCGGCGGCGGCGGAGGGTAGTACCAAGGCCCTCGTGCATGAAACGACACGAACGAAACACATGACGCAAAGCAATGCGAGGCAAAGCAAAGCCAGTCAAAGCATTGCAATGCCAAAGCGATGCAACACAAGGCAATTCATAGCGCGCAGCAAAGAAAAGCAAACCACATGATTTCGAATCAAAGCAAACCCAAAGAGCACCGTAACAGGTTGCAGCTTGCCAACCTTTTGTCTCCAGCCAGTGTTTAACGCGTCTGGAACATGATCTCGTCTACGGTCAATGACCTGGCTAGCTTGTAGCCCACTCACGGGCTGAGTGGGGTACACTCACACTTGCTCAGACTGATATCGCGCTCCTCTACGATCTGAAGAACACCTGCTCGTGCCTGCGCTGGGTCTACCAGGCCTTTGAGCCCCGCGGGCCCTGTTAGCCACGTATCATGAATCTCCTGGGTCGCTCCGCAGCACTCCCTGGGCATACCTACGCCTTCCGCGGGCCAGGGGCTCCTCGGATCGTTTTGCTCCCTCCTCGGCCTCCCTCGGCCTCCCTCGGCCTCCCGCCTCCCGGGACCCTGTCTGGGCCCTCATGGGCACGGTGGCATCCGCGTACGAGGCGAAGGAGGCGGGCACGCTTTCAGGAGGGGGAGAGGGGGGAGAAGGAAGTGGGGACAGGAACAGCAGGCATACGAGACACCAGAGGTGAGCCCCGTGCTTCTCCCGGCCGCGGCGCCCCTCTTTCTCGGCGCGCCCGGCCGGTGCCGGCGCGGGCAGGAAGAGAGCCGCGGCCGCGGCAGCAGCGAAGGCGGGGCCCCTCACTGCAGGAGCCAGGTGGCCGCGAGCACCGCGGCCGCGCTGAGGAGGCCGAGGCCGACGCGCGGGCGCGCGCCGCTGAAGGTGCACTGCACCCTCTCGGCGATGATGGGGCTGGCCCTGGTGACCATGCTGTGGGCCGCCTCCTGCAGGCCGCCCACCTCGAGGCGCGCCATGTTCAGGAACGAGCCCACGAAGGTGGTGATGTTCGGGGAGACCTGCAGCGTCCTCTCCATGTTGGGCAGTACCCTCGTGGACACGTTCTCGATCACCTTGCCGATGGTCTCGAGCTTGGCGTCGTCCGCCACCGCGCCCCCTGGCACGCTGCGGAGTGGTAGAAATGCCACGGGCTGTCTGGTTGGGTTCCTAAAAGTCTGTCAAGGGCCCCCATCCACCCACCCGCTCTCATCACGCTGACTCGCGTGCACCGCCCCCCCCCCTGCACTCGTCAAAGCCAAATGGATCCACGCTCCCGAGGGCAAGATCCCTCGTAACAGAACAATGGCTCCGCGCGCTCCCGAGGCCACGACCGCTCGTACAAAAACGATGGACCAGCACTCCCGAGGCCACGATCCCTAGTAAAAAAGCATGCATCTGCGCTCCCGAAATCACGATCCCTTGCCAAACATCTATGGGTCCGCGCTGGACAGCTTCCAAGACGGGTGAGGCAGGCATTCAAGGCCGCCAGGACGACCCAAGATGGCCCCAAGGCGACCTTGCATGGCCTCAAGACGGCCCAAGAGGCTCTCAAGACGGCCCAGGATGGATGGCCCCAAGGCGGTCCAAGATGGCACCAAGACGGCCAAGCAGGCCGACAAAACGGCCATAAAGCGCCACAAGACGACGCCCAACAGGGCCCGAAGAAGCCAAAATTATTGGCTTCCCTGAGGTGTTGGAAAGATTCGGGCATCTTCACCGTTTCGGGCTTACTTCAGCTCCAGACGGCCCTGGAGAACCCCGGGTGGCCCAAGAGGACATCGAAATAGCAAATAATCATCCAGGTCTGCATCGAGACATCACATGCGGGTTCCTAGAGGACTCAGGACGGCCCCAAGAGAGAGAGTCAAGCTAGCCCAACAGGACCTCCGAGGGACCGACGACGCACATGTAGAGCACCTCGACGGCCCGAAACGGCCCCATGACGGCCCCACAACGGTCGCAAGAGACCCCCCAGGCGGCCAAGAGGCCCCAGCACGGCCCAAGATGAACGCAAAACAGCCCAAGCGGGCGTCAAGACGGCCCGAAGCGGCGCAATAGACCTCCAAGACTGCCCGACAGAAGCCCGAGACAGCGCCAGCCATGTGACGGCCAAACTAAGCTCCATGAAAGCTCCTCCAGAAGTGAAAACGAAGGGTGTCACAAGTGCCGTCCTCTGCTCTGCCTCCTCCTCCTCCTCCTCCTGTTCTCTTCATCATTATCAGCAGCAGCAACAGCCGCACCATCATAATCTCAATCATCGTCATACGACCCGCCACCAACACCAAAATCATAATCAACAACACCACCACCACCACCACCACCACCATCATCATCATCATCATCATCATCATCATCATCATCATCATCATCATCATCATCATCATCATCATCATCATCGTCATCCTCCTCATCCTCATCAGCATCATCATCGTCATCAGCTCATCATCAGCAGCATCAGCATCAACATCATCACCAGTACCATCATCAGCAGCAGCATCAGCATCATCATCACCATCATCGTCATCATCATCGTCAGGATCAGCGTCATCGTCTTCGTCATCATCATAATTAGCAGCAGCAGCAGCAGCATCGGCATCATCATCGTCATCAGCATCAGCATCATCATCACCATCGTCATCGTCATCATCATCGTCATCATCACCACCACCACCACCACCATCATCATAATCAGCAACAGCTGCAGCATCATCATCATCATCATCAGCAGCAGCATCAGCATCATCATAATCCTCATCATCATCATCACCACCACCGCCAGCATATCATCATCATCAGCATCATCATCGTCATCGTCATCATCATCGCCGTCGCCATCATCATCATCATCATCATCATCATCATCATCATCATCATCATCATCGTCGTCATCGTCACCAGCATCATCATACGAATCGGCATCACCTCCACCATCATCACCACCATCATCATCATCATCGTCATCGTCATCGTCATCGTCATCGTCATCGTCATCATCATATTGCTCATCGTCATCGTCGTCATCGTCGTCGGCGTCATCAACAGCAGCATCATGAGCAGCATCATCACCGTGTTCATCACAATCAATACTGGTATCATCGTGTCGTCATAATCGTCGTCCACACCATCCTCATAGAATTGTACACATATACATTGTCCTGCACCATCGTAATCATCTTCTCCTCCTCCTCCTCCTACTACTCTTGTTCCTCCTCCTGCTCATCATCATCGTCATCATCATCACCACCATCACCATCACCATCACAGTCACCATCAAACTATCATGATCACCATCATCAGCAGCAGCAGCATTACCATCATCCTCATCATCATCATCGTCATCGTCATCATCATCATTCCCATGATCGTCATCATAATCATCATCAGCATCATCAGCAGCAGCATAATTGCCAACATCGTCATCATCAATCCTCCTTCTCATCAACAGATTAACTGTCATGTTCACTTCCCATACCGATGCAATTCGGATGAGCATGAGACATGTTGCGCCGCAACATGTTCCCGAGGCTCGGCAGAGCCGCAACAGTTGCGGCTCTCCCGAGCCTCGGGACACAAGGTCATACGCCGTGCAGTTTCATGTCGACCGCACCCCGAAGGTGCTGGGCTGGCGCGGTGACTGGATTTGCCGCAGGCAGCTGCATAGTCCGATACGTTGGCCATGATCTGGGTGATCTGGTCGCAGGCCTCCTTCGGGGTAGCCGTGGCAAGGCTGGTGGCATTGATCCTGAGGCGGACCGTGTTGGCGTTCAGCTGACCGAGGAACGGGAAGAGCGCCCTCTCCAGGTCCTCCGGGACCGTGCGCCTGAGCATCTGGATGGCCTTCAGGCTGTCCTGGTGGAGCCCTCGGAGACGGAAGCCAGACTCGTGGAAGAACTTCGCCATGATGAATCGCAGCTCCACGTCGGAGGCGGAGGTGCTGTCTTTCACGAACTGCGTGGTCTTCTGCTGGGTCTGGTCCAGGAACTTCCGGACATTGAGGTCCACCCTCTTTGTCACGTTGCGGAAGTCCTCCACGAACTCCTCGTCCTGCAGCGCCTCCGGCAGGGCCAGGACGACGTCAACCATGTAGCTCATGTTGACGCCCGCAAGGCCACCCAGAGAGTCCTCCAGCAGCTGTTCCGCGCGCGCCGTCATGTCAGTCTTGGCCTGCCGCCGATTTTCCTTGATCGCCCGACGTTCCTCGGCCTCGGCCATCCTCTCGCCCATCAAGATCTTCCTCCGCTTCTCGGTCGCCAGCCTCAGTTTCTTCATCGCCAGGTTCGCGGCCAGCTTGGCCACGTCCAGCTCCTTTTTCGACACCATGAAATCCTGCCGCGCAAGGGTACATCCGTATCCGCATTTGCTTGAGTCCCACCTGGGGTGCATGAGGAAAGGTGAATACGGATATTCCCCCGCCCGCGAGGGCGAGCAAATATCCACATCCATCACCCCTCGAGGACCCAAGGTACGACTCAGACGCGGTGGACATTGTGCATACCCTGGCGGTGGAAATCCTTCATCGTTTCCTTCAGGTGCGCCTGCTTCTCCCTGAAGATGGCCATCAGCTTCGGGTCGAAATACGTGGACAGGTTGGCCCTGCTCTGGTTCTCGTCGGCCTGCACATCCGTGGAGTTTCCCGAGGCATTGGCGGCGGCACCTTCGGAGCTGTCTGCGACGACCGTTTCGGCCGGGCGGGTCTCGCTGGTTGCGTTCGAAGCCTGCTCCTGACGAGGGGGGCGGGAGTCCACAACGTCGGGAATTTGACCGTACAGGAGGACAGAGGGGGGAACGGGAGGAGGAGAACAATGGGTGCTGCCACTTTGGGACTATTCCCCACAGCCTCAGTTCCGGGGGCGGCCTCGCCCGCGGGCGCCTCGGGATCGCTGTCCGCATCCATCTCCTCCTCGGCCACTTTCTCGTCGGCGTCGACCTCCTGCAAAAGTGCGATCTGCCGACCCTTTTGGGGTCGCCAGGCCTGCGCGAACCTTCACGCACACAAACACACACACACACACACACCGTCAATCACATACACAAACACAGACAAGCACACAATGAGCACACGCGGCCAAGGAATAATTGTTTCATCGGGGGCGAAGCAGAATTACTGCACCAGCGATCGGGCTAAACAGGGCTACCGAACAGCGAATTGCCCAGCGCGCAAGGGAGGCAACCAAGACAGACGGAGAGGCCGCGGAGGAGGCGGGAGGGGGGGCTGCGTGTATATACGACCGAGGGGTCGATCCTATACTAGGGTCCGTAGGTCGAGGCAAAGGAGGAAGAGGTAAGCTACTCCTTTTTTCCTGGGCGCCGCGCAGAGAGCAGCGCGGCATGACGTTCATGCCAATACCTGAGCCGATTCAGTGGCGGTGGATGACGATAGTGGCACCTCCACGATGGCCTCGGGTCCTCGGGAGACAACAGCAAGGCTCGGGATCAGAGGCGTGAGGTCCCCTCAAAGCACCGCCATATCGACCACACCTCCAAACAAGGTCGCATCGGCTAGGAAGGTGAGGAAAAAGCCAACCCCACCACTCGGGGTACTGAGGGGAGTCTACCCGCCTTTAGTGGGCGGTTCGCCCACAGAAAAACGCCTCGGCACTCCTGGATGACTCCACGTCACCACAGGTGACGAGGCTGGGAGAGCAAAGGAGAGAAGAACAAATGAAGAGCACGACCGCATCCTTCGATGCGAATGTCTCAACCGGCGCACAGTAAAACTGCGCAAATTCTCGCACAGGAGACGATGGATTCAAGATGTGACGACAACTCGGTCAAAGTAGAAGGACGTCTCTCACCCACGGGGATCTCGAGGGCCAATAATGTTGCTAGGGCTCTCCAGGAACAAAATCTCGTTGAACTATGATAATTGTGAAAACAACTGATGTGTGTGAGAACAACATGCAGAGTGCGAGGCATTCCAAGGCTCCAAAAGTGTTAAAACGATACGTCCAATGAATAAAGTGCAGCGCTGCAACAGGTAAAACGCACGGTCGATGCGACAACGTAAACGATGGCGAATATTGCAACCGCAAACGTCAGGAGAAAATGCTTTCCATGTGACGTACTCTGTCACTTCCGACTTCTCATGAAAAGAAAATGCACAAACACAAAAAGAAATATTTTGTTGGCGGGAGACCTGCCGGGGTGCGCGTATTCCCTGCATACCAGATTGTACTAAATGATGTCGAATCTGTCGAGGCATAAGAGAGATGCACGCAAGATGGAGCACATGATGGATCGAAGGAATTGGAACAAACAACATCATATCATACAGGCCAGAAAAAACAGCAGCACAATCATATAATCAGATGATAATGCTCCACAGAGACAGTGAGGAAGTACCGTAAGGAAATATACTTCAGCACTGGCCTCTAAAAATCAAAATATCGTTTGCCCCAGACACGATTGCCGCGTTTATCAAGCCGGCCAATTGCACGCCCGCTGTTGGTGTCCAACCAAATGCGCTCGCAGTCGTTCTCGCCGAGATAGGTCCATCGTCGAGATACTATGACCAATAGCGGTATGCTTCGTGTGCGTAGTGCTCAATGTTGCGGCGCCACCGCCACCACGTTGCGGCGCTGGCGCGCGGCACTACGGCTGCGGCCTCTGGGCCCCATCTCACGTGGCACCCGCCTCGGAGGCGTCGTAGGTCTCCGCGCGCTCGAAGCGGAGCCGGTGCCTCCAGTCCAGCCAGCGCCGGGGGCACAGCCGCCGGCGGGGGGAGCACTGCGGCGCGGGAATGGAGGGGCAGGAGCGAGGCGGACAGGGTCAATGACGGGGGCAACATCCTCGCTCTTCTTACCTTTCGCTGCGCCTTCGGGGACCTGCCTATGGAGCTCAGCCAGCGCGACGCGGTTCATCGACCCCTGACCTCTCCCAGCGGAAAAGGTGATGACCCCACGTTCAAAACGCCGAACCCCAATGGCCTGCACCCGGCGACCAGCGCATCCAGAACTCACGCTGTCACGATGATATTGCACGGCATCGCGCATATCGTCGATCGTGAATGGCCGTTTGTCTTCGGCCTTCCTGCCATCAGTCATCTGAGCGAAGGACAAAGGGTCGGACTGGAAGCGCTCCACTACACCAACATATGGGTGGTACAAGATAGCGTCGTCGCGCAGGTCATCCGCATTAGCTCCGCCCATCCCGCGGGCGCCTGAAGGAGGCCTGATAGCCTCACCCCACCTGGTGCAACGCTTCTCCGCCTCAGCCACCGGCCTGCGAGGAAAGTCCTTCCTCTGGGCCTCATCGGAGCGGGTGCCCTGGAAGCGGATAGCAACGCATGCGTGCATAATATGCTGCACGATCTGCTCACTTAAATTGTTTCGAATCCAAGTGCGACCGTTGGCAAGAAAATGGATCTGCGCAGCACTGGACTCCTCCTACTTTTGCGACTCACTGCACATGCCGCAGACGTCACCAAGGAAGCTGTCAGGGAGATCACGGTAGCAGCTCTGACAATGACGCTTCGCGGTCTGCAAGTCAACAGCACCATATTCAATGAGCTGCTGGACGAGTTTGCGAGCGTCACCACCAGCAATCACAGACAGACCGAGATCATGCAGAGCACGATTCGGGAACAAATGATTGCGATCGGTGGCCAGATCGGCGGCCATAGATTCCAATCCTTTATCGGTCATCGGATCGGAGAGGTCACCTACCGATATCTGTTCACAGGCGTGGTGTACTGAGGCTGTGCCCGGATGCTCTGTCAGGGACTGCTCACCTGTGGCACGGAGCTCCGCGTCCCTCGCATCCTTCTCGGCGCCTTGCAGATTGTCGTCAGAGTCAGCCCGCAGTGCCGCGAGCAGTTGTTCCTGGGTCGGGGCAACAGCGCACACTGTGCTACCAGGGTCGGCATCAGGACGAGGTGCGTCGGTAGGGGTCGGGTTTGCGTCAGCCTTGATAATTATATTGCCCTTTCATGGGGTCGTCCAATATTCGCTGCACTTCGGATTGGTCACCACATATTTCTCCCACTGGTTGAGCAGGGACGAGGGCGGGATGGTACTTAATATCCGACGCCGAATTTCCAGAAGACGATGAGGCGTGGAGGATAGCGAAGAGGCGTGGGATCCAATGGAGAAGCATGACCTCATCGTGGTTTGTCCAGTCCATGTTCCTCATCACCGCCAGGATGAACCAGTTGTGTCCCCATACGTCAGGGAGCTGCTGGGCCCACGCACTGCATGGGTTAAACGTCATGTGGTACGATGCTGATCCAACGCTGAAGCGGAACATGATGTCGAGGTGGCTGTACTTCACAGTACAAACTTGTTCCACCTCGCAGAGCGGCGTCATCGACAGTGGTCCAACGCTGATGGTCGCTGAGCCAGAGAGCTCCAAAGGCAGCCTGCAAGTCATCGACGCTCTGAATCGGGGTCCGAGCTTTCTTCTCCCCGTATCTGACGGCTCAACTGTCATCGTGCTCGGCTGCGTCGGGATCGTCGTGAGTTGCGGGTTTCCCCGCCGACACCTCAACAACGATGTCATCATCGGATAACCCGAAATGTTCTTCGATATCCCAAGCATGGATACCATCGATCAAGGTCGACGGAAGATCAGCACGAAAAGAAACCGCGAAGCGGAATCCGTGTTGTTCGCTACCGTGATCACAATACCAAATGTTCGCCCAAAATGGACCGTGGCCACGTCACGGGATCATCATCACACTGACATAGGGTCCTTTGTGCTCGATGTCGATGATTGGACCAAATACTTCTCTTTGCCAGGATGAGGGTATTCTGTTTGGTGGCAGATTATGGTGCGGCTACAGCTCGGCATCGAGACGCGCCGTGCCGACGCGTGTAAGAGAAATCGCCAAAACGAATGTCGCTGCAACGTGACGTGCGGTGCCAGGTACCCGAGGGAGGTCTTTGGCGAGCGGTTCGAAGTACTGCCTCCTGCAAACCTGCACGATCTTCCACCAATCGATGTTCGACTGCGCTTCCTGGATGTCCTGTTCTGCTGGAGTCGGTGGGTTTGCATCCTGTGAAGATGCAGGTGTGTCTCCACCGGCGCGTGGACATTAGGATCAGCGGCGGGTGCAGCCATGTACGCGTCGAGGCGGAGGACGTCTTGCACGTCATCCGCAATGTCGGCCGGTGCATCGGTCTGCACACGATGCGCGGGAACATCCGGTGTGGCAGAAGAAGCTCTCTTCGCGACTGCAACGGCCACGGACCCACGAGGCCTGGGCGAGGCCCCCTGGCACAACCGCACAGACTTCGCACTGCCTCCGTGGCTCAGGAAGCCTAGCCAGCGGAGGGTAGCCCATGACTTGTTGTGCTCGGGGAAGACGTGCGACGTGCGGCGTGGGCGCGGGCGTTGCCACCGATGCAGGTTGCGTAGGTGGCGCGGGTGATGGCCGCTTGGATGTCGCGCACACCGCAGGAGCATCCGCAGGCGGTGGGGGACGCGTAGGCGGGGGGGGGAGCGGCACGACCACCGATGCGGCAGCAGGCGCATCCAGCGACTCCGGAGGAGGAGCCGGTGGGGCGTCCAATCGGGCACCGGCTTGCTCGCGAAACCAATCGTTGAGCAAGTCGATGCATGTTGCGTGGACGCCACGTGCCTAGTCAAGGAATCCAGCCCCTGCACTCGCACGCACGGCGGCTTGCAACCTGATCTTGTCAACCAACTCCTTGAAAACCAGCCATGTGGCAGCGTGACGCACCTGATAGGTCCTCTTGGCCGCGGCCTTGAGGAAGTCCAATTGAGAGGACGACCACGATGCCCACGCCGTAGGGAAATCGTCGATCAGGCCGTTGGAGCGCGGGAATGTGGCAGCGCACGAAGAACAGCACCCCCACTCTGGTTCCGAAGAAACGGCTTTGCCATCCCAGTCCTCGCCATAGGCAGTAGAGACTGCCTTGGTGCATGCTGCCGGCGTGGCCTCGGATGTTGGCGCACCCGGACGTTGGGGGGCCAGGAAAGGAGCCC